GGGAAACTGCTTGTCACACACTCTTTAGAATTCACAGTACACACCAATTTAGTACAATCTTGTTATTTATGGATGAGAAGTCATGAGTTACTCACTGTTACATAACCAGTCAGTGGCAGCACTAGACTTGGAGTACAGAATTTGTTCAACTATGACATTGTCCACCTAGAACCCCTCATAAAGAAATGTTAGCCAGGCATGGTGGCTCATGCATATAATCCCAGCACTTTGGGAGGCTGAGGTAAGAGGATTGCCCATGCTCACAGGTTGGAGACCAGCTTGGGAAAACTTGGTGAGACCTCATTTCTACAATAAATCAAAAACTAGCCGGTCATGGTGGCATGTGCCTGTAGTTCCAGCTACTTGGAAGGTTGAGGCAGAAGGATTGCCTGAGCCCAGTAAGTCAAGGCTGCGGTTGCCATGAGCATGCCACTGCACTCCAGCCTGGGCAACAGAGTGAGACTCCAACACAAAAAAAAGAAAGAAAGAAAGAAAGAAAGAAAGAAAGAAAGAAAGAAAGAAAGAAAGAAAGAAAGAATGAAGAAAGATTAAGAATCAATAAAATAGGGCCTGCAGGTCTGAGTGGAGCCATGGACGCGGGTCTCCGTTCCGCAGGATGGGGTTTGTTAAAGTTGTCAAGAATAAGGCCTACTTTAAGAGATACCAAGTGAAATTTAGAAGACGACGAGAGGGTAAAACTGATTACTATGCTCGGAAACGCTTGGTGATACAGGATAAAAATAAATACAACACACCCAAATACAGGATGATAGTTCGTGTAACAAACAGAGATATCATCTGTCAGATTGCTTATGCCCGTATAGAAGGGGATGTGATAGTCTGCGCAGCTTATGCACACGAACTACCAAAATATGGTGTAAAAGTTGGCCTGACAAATTATGCTGCAGCATATTGTACTGGCCTGCTGCTGGCCCGCAGGCTCCTCAATTCGTTTGGCATGGACAAGACCTATGAAGGCCAAGTGGAGGTGACCGGAGATGAATACAATGTAGAAAGCGTTGATGGCAAGGCCGGTGCTTTCACCTGCTATTTGGATGCAGGCCTTGCCAGAACTACCACTGGCAATAAAGTTTTTGGAGCCCTGAAGGGAGCTGTGGATGGCGGCTTGTCTATCCCTCACAGTACCAAGCGATTCCCTGGTTATGATTCTGAAAGCAAGGAGTTTAATGCAGAAGTACATCGGAAGCACATCATGGG